ACTGTGAAATGGAGTAAGAACCTTTTGGAGGGCTTTGATTTGCATTTCTCCTTCCCCTTTTCCCAGTGCCAACTTTAACAATTCATCATTTTTCAGGATAATCTACAGTGACAAACTGTTGGTAATGACCCTAGTAGACTTAGAGGCACTATTGCCAAGCTACTAGGAGAATAAAATATTGTCCCCTAAATCTGACTTAGAATACCTAGTTTAGACTTAATTTTGTTTAGTTCAAATTAGCTTAGTAGACTCCTCATATTTTTTAAGTAGTGTAGTCCTTTAACTAATAATGTATAATGACGAATTAGTTGCTTTGTGAAAATCTGTAAATTATTTAGGTATTTCTCAATATCTTAATAAAGACATGTCATTGTGGCATAATTGCAGGTTAAAAAAAAAAAACAATAAAATCGAACTAGGGACAAATGGAATCTTCAAATAGAAGATTAGCAAAACTACTTATGGAACATGATATGTGAAAGGCTAAAAAAAGAATACATGTGGGACACCTCCTTTAAAAGCTTACAATAGAAAAGTTTTCTAGTGAAATTAATCAACAATGAACTATCAACAATGACTAAACTAGTGATCAGGAAACCAGATCTACAGTATATCACAAAAATAACTGCTTAGCGTGTGATGAACAAGAGGAAACAATAGAATATTTTTTGGAATACCCAAGATATAAAAACACAATGAAGGAAGCCTGATCAAAAAGAATAGATATAATATATCAAGAATATAAGAAAGAGAGGCAAAAGCAAAAAGATCAAGCTCAAAAAGAATACAGTAATATCTTAATAGTAGATAAAAAAGAAATGAGAGAAATAGAAGCATGGACAACAAAGCTTATTGGAAGAGTATCTACAAATAGTCAAGATTCAGTCAGTTTTCTCCTAGGGCTGATTAAAATATAACTATTAAGAGAAGTAGAGGAACTCGAATGTGAAGAAAAAAAGATAGAAACAGTCATCAGAAAATGGATACTTTATTGCCAAAAGAAGATCTTGAATTAATTTAGGAAAGAAGTGTGAAACAAATGATGTGAACTAGTAATAGAATGGGAAAAAGCTCAAGGAATTTTCTGAAAAAATAAAATAAGATGGTCCATAAAATCTTATTTAACAAGAAAGACAAAAAAATCAAGAGAAGAAAGAAAGAAAATGGAAGAAGAATGTTTAAGAAAAAGTTATAAGAATAATAATAATAGGAGTTAAAAGTGGGATAAAATGGTTGGGTTTTAGGCTCGGTTAGAACTTTGGTCAGTGATCTGCAATAGTGACTGCAGGCAATAATATTCATAGTAGAAGGGTATTTACTCAAACTATAAACGGAGTGACAAATCACTTCCAAAGTTGCACTTAGAGTTTAACAATAAACTAAGATGAGTGAGTTAGTTAGCATTTTAGCTTTAGTGACACTGTAAATAGTATAGCCTACATTATATTTAATAAAGCACATATACTGTAACTAACCTAACAGTGGGTTATAATTAAAAAAAAACAAAAACAAATATATATAATTTGGTAGATATAGGAGTAATAGATAATATAGTTTATATAATTCCAATATTTGATAAATATAATGAATATTTATTAAATAATTATTTATTTTAATATACATATTATCACTTTGAATATTTTTTAAATTTTTTAAAATTTTTTTTTTTTTTTTTAAATGCTAGCTCAATCTTTACTTTATTAGATATAATTTTTAAATATCGATGTAATACATATTAAAAATATAATTGTAAATCTATAAAGCTGCAATATGACTATACTGGTCAACCTTGGGCATGTTATTGTCTTTGAAATAAGAACTAGCGAAGGGCCACTAGTGCTGAAAAAATTTTTATAAGGGGGAAAAAGGAAGGTCAGAAAATAAATGAGTGGATGGAATAGTTAATCTATATATACAATTTCTTGCTATGCAACTTTTTTAGGGAGAAGAAAATTTCATTCAAAATATTCATTAAAACCCCTTAGGTAGTGTCAAATACCTATTCATATATGATAGTGGAAACACCAGTGCATAGTTTGATTATATTTCAGATTCCTCAATAATTTTTGTGCAATATCAGTTGTATTTCAGATGCCTTTACCTAGGTTCTTGAAAAATGCGGGAATCTCAGCCATTGCCTTTGGTAGCCAACTTGTACTTCCTTGCGGGAACTCCCAAAACATCAGTGCAGATCATACACAGAAATAAGATACTAATGCTCAGTAGGAAGAGGAAGTCTTTAGGATAACTACTAAGTTACTTTCTCAGAGGGGTATGGGAGAGGAGAAGGTGGGTTCAATCTCATTTAAAAATGGAAAAAGGTTGGGGGTAGGTGCATATGTATTGATACTGGTAGGCCAATTCACAGACTATTTTCATTGATCCTTATTATATACTGATGCAGTAAAGCCACAATTCATACACTCCATTCTCTGTGTCCTTAAAAGCTGAGCCAAGGAATCGATAGAGGAACCAGTGTTCTATCTTCAAATCTTTACCTATTCGACGGAGTTGAAGAGGGAATCTACTCAGTGGCCAGGAGTATGTGACTACAACCATAAAATCTAGTTGTAGTATTTTCTAACCTTTATCATGGTTGGATGGACTTTTTCAGAAAGAACCAATGATGTAAACAGAGGAGTGTCCTGTATCTACCCACACCTAGCCAATGACTTATGGTAGACTCCAGGTTCTTATGGAGCTGAGAAAATACATTCAGATATGTGAAGTGATTAATGGAAGCTTGTTTATATTCTTTTATTAATGTGAGCTCTATCTGTCCAATCACGGTGTGAGAAACTTTGTGCTACTTAAAATTCAGGGTCAAACTGAGGTAGGCAAAATTCCTCAGAAAAAACCAAGAATGAGCACTATAAGAAGCCAAATAGATGACAAGAGAGTGGAAATGTTGTTTCTCATCATTATAGAACTTCTGTGATGTTTCTCTACAGTGTGAGATGATGATACATTAGTTCTTCTTCCTTTCAGAACTTTCTTGCTATTGATAGGAAAGGTTTTTCTTGATCTTTATGGTCACTAGAGGTCAAGTTTTTGTTTGAAGAGGATAATAAGCAAGAGGAGAGGAGGTAGTTAATGACTTTTGAAGTTCCTTCAAGTTGGTTTAAGAAGAGTAGTAAGACTTTATTAGTTTAAAAGTATAAAAACTTCTTGCGATCGTCTTTTTTGTGTGTGGTCAGAGAATTAGCGAAAAGAGTTGATGTCTTGAAATTTTTTAAAATAAAAAATATTCAAAGTTTTTTATTATTAAAATTAATGAAATTATTTTTGTTTTACAAATTTTTGAAAATTTTGAAAGTTTTTTAAAGTTTTTTTCAAAAATTTCCTGATGAAGTATATATTATTCTGTAATATTTATTGATAGTCCTTTTATTCTCTTTAAAACTTGTACTCCTTTATAAAGTGTTTCTATACTTCACTTCTAGAAATTGTTGAAGTAACTGAAGCCGATTTCGATAGATTGTTTGTATTAATATTTTTAATATCTATATTGTTATGATTAGTTAAACTAATATTTTTATTGTATACAAATTAAATGCTATTAAATGAGTTTTCATATTCCATTTTTAAAAAAAATAAATTAATAAAAATAAAAAATATGATAAAAGTAATTAAGTGATAAAACTATAATATCACAAAAAAATATTTAAAAAATTATAAAAAAGAGCAAGTATAGATTTTTTTTTAACTTGCCTTTTATATTATTATTAAAAAAAAAATCATATTTTAATTTTTTAGATAGTTTGATTTAAATGAAATTAAATAATTATATAATAATTTATATAAACTGGTTCATGTCTGATTTAAATCATATTGATTTTGATTCAAATTCAATTTGAATCCAATAATTTTGAAAATTTAAAATTCGATTTGATCCAAATTTGATTAAATTAAAAATTTTAAAATTTGATTTGATTCAATTTGTATCTGATTTATGAATCAATTGAATTCGGATCAAAATTGTGATCACTACTTAGAGGCAAAAACTCTTTTGAAAATTGAAAGCTATTAATGAATGTATAAGTACAAGATTTAGTTTAGTCATAATGCAATTGTCCTATATATCTCTATCAGTTTTCATAATAATTAATAAACACAGTACTGGCCTAACCATGGGTTTAAAAAAAAAAAAAAAACTTTTAATTCATATTTGATAAAATATCAAGAACAAATTAATTATTATATAATAATATCCACAAACATTGTTACTGTTCCTATTGTATATTAATAAAGATAAAATTTCACAATGATATAGTTGCAATATCATTCGCTATAGGTTTCTTCATGCATTTATCGTCTGCGTTTCATGTGAATAATATGCTAAGCCACTCGCGTATCTCAACATTACAAGTATAAAAAATCCTTTCACTATATCAAAATAATTGCATAATGTTTTTAACAATAGGACATGATCATTATAAAGACTGGGTTTCTACGAGCAACCGGATTTTCGAATAAAAGCTCAAAGTGGATTTTCACAAAGTAATTTTCACATTGTTAATTCCTTGGGCGAAAGAGATTCACGCATTCCGATATACCTTGATTTTTTATGCACCAGTTCTTACCGGAGGGGAAACCTTTTTGGTTTTTGAGAATGTTAAAGTCATATATGATTACCAGAAAGAAGGTTGAGTATGTGCATAAATACAATACCAAAATAACGCCATCACCGCGTACAAATAACATTTCCGATGTTCTTTTTACCGTCTGAGAAAGTAATCATAGTAAATGTACGACGCAAAAAAAAAAAAAAATAAAAAAAAAAAAAGTGAAAAATTGCTCACACGTATAACTTCCTCGTAAGTCTCATTAATTTCCACAACGGTAATAGTCTCTTCCACTTCGCCCAGTATCATGTTCAAGTGTCCATCATATGCCTATTGAAAAAGCATTTTTTTTTTTTTTGTTGACGGATAGTATGCTTAAAAATTATTACAATCTCTAAATGAATGTAACCGGTAATACATGAAGTTTTCCGCGTAACTCTCGATCTCCGCGTAATTTTACATATATTCGTTCGTCGAGCGATAAACGAACAAGGTCTAATGGCTCTTCAACGGCATTTGGTTCAACCGACGCTGTATGAGTTTCTTCAGCAGACATTATTATTTAACTGGGTGGGGGAAGAAACCTTGAAACAACTTTGGCCATTTTGATCGACCAATAAGAATGCACCCAAAGCATATAAATAATTTGTCTATTTTAACTGAACTTCCGCAGATTCAAATGGAAACAGATATTGTATCGCACGAGCCTCACCATCAAGAAGAGGAGTCGGAACACAGCAAAAGCTCAAATGAAGTGCAAGATTCTAATAATAAGATCGAATTTAAAGCTCCGGCGCCGATAAACGGTAAATTTCCTTGTATTTCATTCAAACCTTCAACCAATATAACTCAATTGTATCTTTTTACTTTGAATAGTTCAATCGCGGCAGCCGGCGATACCTTCAGTTCCATATGAAAAGCCGGAATGGAGTGGCCTGCCAAAAGATAATTATGCTTTTGAAGTCATTAAGGGCGGTATTAGTATCGGCACGATGGAAATTCCGGCCAAGGAGTTTCTTGTTCTTGGTACGTGATTAGATTCTTGTGGACACATTGGGAAATTAGGAAGCAGGCTTAACAGTTCAACATCGATCATACGACAACAATTTTAGGACGATTGCCGGTGTGTGATATATCGATGGAACATGCTGTATCCTGAAAATTTAGGATCAAGGATTCACCTGTCGTTCTTATCATTTGGCTAAATTCTTAACTTCAGGATGCGCATCTCGCCTACACAGTCTATTTCTAGGTATCATGCGATTGTTCAGTTTAATAATAAAGGTGGGAGGATCAATTTGATATAAAAGGGTTGTTTCTAAATTTCATTATTATAATTATGCTACTTCTTCATTGTCGTATAAAGGAGAAATTTTTATTTATGATCTGGAAAGTGCGCATGGCACTAGATTAAATAAGCAACGGGTATCCCCGTTAAATTATGTTCGACTTCGCGTAGGGGATCAACTAAAGTTCGGTGAAAGTACGCGAATATATATTTTGTTAGGTCCTGAGGAACCACAGCAACAGGCGGTCAAACCCGTTCCGAAGCCGACACCGGAAATGACAGGGGTCACTTGGTACGTGCCGTGAAAAGTTCTGTGAAATGGTGAGAGGTTGAAAATGAATAACGAATTTATCATGAATCCGTCATTTTAGGGGATTTGCAGAGGATGCCGAGGATGAGAGTGAAATTTCGATTTCGGCGGCAAAGGAATCATGGAAACGGGATGAAAATGCTTACTATTATAAAGACCCTAAAAAGGCTTTGAGGAATTGGCTCGAGGTTCGTATCGGAGATTCGGCGAATAGGTTGTTGAGCAAATTGTTGTATTCATTATTATTAAATTCATTTATCAAAGAATCGTGGTTACGAGATGGAATTTGAAAGCGAACAGGAGGGTCCAGGACATGCACGAACATTTACTTCTCGGTATCTATTAAGATATAGTAATTTGGTCATTTGATAAAATTTATTTCTTCATGGGTATTTCTAAACCCATTTATCTTAAGGATTTTATTACCGGAAGTTGAAGATGCATTTGGACCAGTTTATGGCATAGGGAGTGGACCAAGAAAGAGGCATGCGAAATTTCACCTTTTTACATTTCACCGAGATTTTATGCATTTGCTGAATTAACATATAAATTCATATAGAGATGCTGATAGGCAGGCAGCGATCGATGCTTGTGAAAAATTGGATATGCTGGGCATTTTGCGCGCAAGTCAAGATGAGGCTTGTATGCATTACGCGTCTGTTACAATATGTACATAGTTTTTTATGATATGCAACTTTTACCTTTTTAGTGGCGAGGAAAAAAAGGCTTAAGCATTTGTTGGGCGATGATGCAGACGATGAGGAAAACGACAGCTTTTATGATCGAACGGGTCAAGGTTAAATATCATCGTCACTCCATAGATGTTTCCGAATTGATTTCGGCGTTAACCCGGTTCGTCATTATTTGATAAAAAAATAAAGCCGATCGTGTGAAATCAAGAAAATCTCTGCAAGCGACACAAAAAGTCGAGACTTATGAATCGTTGATAAAACAAAGGGAGGAACTTGCACTGCGAATTGAAGAAATTCGGAATAAGATATCAACAATCAAGATGACGGTATCAGGTATTTATTTATGCCACACTACTTTACTTTATTCTTTTTACAACTTTGGTACTTACACGCGTTATATTTGTCATTTTTAGAGAAATCATTCGTTTCTCGGGTCGAAGATGAACTGGAAAACTTTATGAATTCCATAGAAGATGAAATAAAAAATGAGTCAGAGGCTAATTTGCAGACCAAGCTGCAAGATTTGTTGACGGTGCGTGAGATCTTTTTCTGAATTTTCCTTTCCCAAAGTTCTTTTTTGAGAACGATGAATTATTTTTGCAGCAAGATCAACGCCTCGATCGTTTAATTCAAATCACAAAACCTCATGACATCATGAAAAACAACAACATTCCACCATCATCGACGTCAAACGGAGTGCCGAAGGACAGGTAAATCTTACTTGTTGGTTCGTGACAACAAATTCACTTTTAATCGTCCCTTATATCTTTTATTAAACGCAATCTTTTACAGTCGAGAGGGTGGTGTGAGAATTGAACAAAGCGAGGTAAATAAATACCGTTCGTCAATTGACCGACATGGGGACAATTAGTTCTTATTAATTCATTGTTTTGTTTTTTTTTTGCCATTGACAAATCAGAAATCAATTGAAACCAAAGAGATCAAAAATTTTGCCACGAAAACCGAAGAAGCGATAAAACACGATATGGTCGAAACAACATCAAAATTGATTCCATCAGAACATGAAGACTCGGCTATTCCAAGTAAAAGGGTTAACATGCAGGAAAACGATGACAATAGTTCACCGGGTGGAGATGAGGAGCAGAGTAAGAAAAGGAAAATTAAGCCAGTGTTGCCAATGACACCACAAGAATTTGAAGAAAACCAGAGGAGGGCCATGGAATTGAACGAACTCGAAAATGAGGATGCAATAACTTGGGAACCACCTCAAGGTCAAACAGGTACGAAATAATTTCTCGACTCCCGATGAATTATTATTTATTATTCATATTTTATCGTTTACACAAAACTTTGTGGTCAAATGTATAGGGGATGGCAGAACGGCACTTAATGATAAATTCGGTTACTAAAAAGATCGTTAACATATTGTGATATAAAATTTGGTTCTTTTTTTTTGTAATTGAAAAATGTCTTTGATCAAAAATTATATATCAAAATATGGTCAAAGGGACGAACAAAAAAGATACCTAGGAGACAAGAGAATAATAGATTGGTACAGTACAAGATAAAGAAGCGCAAAGAAGAAGAAAAAAAAAGAAATGATCTTTTTCTCGGAGATCCGCAAAATTTATAACCAAATTTTGGACAAAAAAAAAAGAGCAAGGTGACGAGTCAAGTAATATAACAAGATTCCAATCACTTTCTGAGGTTGGTGATCATGAACAGTGGTCATAAATACATAAAGAATGTTTATCCTCCAACATAACAAATGTCCGAGGTTCTAACATGCGCAGTTAGTGTTTGGTGGCGGACGGTTCAAATCAACTCCCCTGGGATTTAGACCGGCGCCTCTCGCACGCGAATTAGAAGCCAATTGATCAAGAGGCATCTTTCTCGCTTATCAATCGTTTAAAGTGCATGAGTTTCTTGTTCAGATCAATTGTCAGAATTAAGAAGAAACACTTATAGATACCTATTGATGTAAATAATTCGTTGACATTGGTGGCCGTCTTTGCGGATGTTTCAAAGAACAGGAGGTTCAAATCATCTGCATAGGCCTTAGCTTCCTGTGGGAAACAACAAACATAACGATGGTCGGATACGATTCATGTTTTTATTTGAAATCGATGCACGAAAAAGCCATCGACCTACTTCAGTGTCAACCGCCCTACGTGCACTCAAATCACTCTTGTTGCCGGCAAGCGCGATGACAATATTTGGATCTGCCTGTCTTTGCAACTCCTTCACCCATGATTTGGCCTTGTCAAGAGAGGACTAAAGGGAATCGTGTAATTATGTTCAGAAGATTTGTCACGTGCGTGTTTTTTTTTTTTTTTTTTTAAAAAAGAAATCTCAAAAAGGACACGATACTAACAGCTTGAGTTATGTCATAAACTACTACGGCACAGTTTGCGTTCCTATAATACATCGGTGCCAAACTCTATCCCGTGTGGAAGGCAATAGTTTGCCTGAGTCAAATGTTGACACGTGCGTTAAAGAAGATAAAAATGTTTACTGAACCATTTCACCTTGTAACGTTCTTGACCGGCTGTATCCCTGTTAATGAACGTGCACTTGTCATTTATTATTAATTAATCTTTGAGATGTGCGAGAAAAATAGTGCAAGTACCAGATTTCAAATTTAACTGTCGTATTTTCACCCAAGCTAATCGTTTGCGTCAGAAATGCGGCTGAAAGAGAGACCGCGAGAATGAATCTCTGAATTTTGCAATTTCCTCTGAGTAAAGATCATGAAAGAAAATTCTTTCCCTCACCTCCAATGGTGCTTTCTCTGTAGTCGTCAAATTGATCCTTGACAAAGCGTAATACCAAACTGTCATGCATCAACATAATTATGAAAATACAGCACAAAGCAGAGGAAAATAAATAATAATAAAGAGAAAATTTTTTCTCCAATAACTTTGACTTTAGTCGATCAGATTGCTGCGATACAAGGTTTTTGTTCTTTTCGTCGGAAGTTTTTCATTTTTTGAAGGTGTCGCGGGAGGAAAAGAAAAAAAATAAAAATAAATTAAAGAAAGTCGTGTGACCAACCTTGATTTACCGACGGCCGATTCTCCTGTAAAAAAAAAAAAAGAAAAAAAAAGAACGTAATAATAATTCTACGTTAAAAATTGCCAATGAAGGCGCTACACGAAAGTTCATATACACAGTAGGTCTAGGCGAAACATCAAGGAAATTCGGGCGATCGTAAATGTCCATTTTTTTTAGCTGCGCAACTGATTTTCATACCTAACAGAACGAGCTTGAATTGGAATAATTTGCCGGTCTGAGGAGTTTGCTTATTATTGTTTGTGTTCGACATTGCTTTTGGGTGTCAATGATATTTGTTGTGTCCGCAAAGTGAAAAAGTATGAAGTAAGAAACCCTGACGATGATAATGTGATAAAGAAATCTGATATGATGAAAAAAAGCAGCGGAGCATTAAACAAAGTGACTGAGGCTATTTTAAGTTAGCGCAGTGCTTTAATTAGGTCGTACAAGGCACATAAGCGTGCAATTTATTAGTTGCTCAAATAACGTTCGGCAAAAATCATCATCAATCTTAAGGAAATTTTTTTCAAAAGAAAATACTTGCACCGCTCAAAGGGTGGGGAAGTTAGTGAGGTTTTTGGCTTTGGGTGTTCCTCCTTAAATTCTCCTTTTTTTTTTTTCTCCACACATTTTATAGTCCTCTCCAGATCTACCCCTTCGTAACAAATTTTCCTTATATACATACACCTACCTACCAAAAATACATATATTTTTTTTAGGATTGCACAAATAATTAAAGTAAACTTGTCAAGCAATACTTAAAAACCACGCCACCGGGAAATTTTTTTTGTCCTTTTTTTTTCCAAGGCGTATTTGGCTAATAATGTCGTCTTCAATTTCACCTTTCTATCGTCCTGGCGTATTTCCCGCTTTGTCCTCTCGCCTTTTAGCTAGCGCTTCACAGTCTCTTCGTCTAGCAATTCAGTCTCAACTTCTCCTCAAAAGTTTCTACAATTGTCCACTACGTCTTACCGACTTACCACTAACCACCACAAAAGGTTTCACCTATCTGATAGCGGCCTCCTGGCATCCCAAGAAAAAGCGACAGCCGGCAGTCAACTCTATATCGGCTGGTCACCAATGGTGGAAGGAACGTGTGCAGGCTGGGAAAGTTGACGCCGGAGAGGACGCTTTCTTCTATGTCGGAACAAATAATGGCGTCGCCTTGGGTGTTGCAGACGGAGTCGGTGGCTGGTCTCAGGTGTGTTTTTTTTCTTTCCTTCTTTTTTTTTTTTCTTGCTGCAAAACCGGGCGTATTCCTACTCTTTACCGTAGGCTTTTCCGAATTTCCAATGGTTTAATTTCTCGGAACAAACAACAACAGATGGGGGTTGATCCTGCTTATTTCTCCTGGGCGTTAATGGATAATGCCGCAAAAATTGCAAAAGAATTTAGCGCATCAAAGCTTGCCCTGTTCAATGCTCCCGGTGGACACGCAGACATTCTGGATGCGAAACAAGTGTTGGGCGGAGCGTTTGATAATTTGATAAAAAGTGGAAAGGTCAAAGCAGGTAAAGATCCTGTTTTCCTCTTTCGATCAATATTTATGATGTCGTTAATTTATTTTATATATTTATTTCTCAACCAATTAAAATTTTTTGTTCTTTTGTCTTTACAGGAAGTTCGACGGCGTGCATTCTGTCGCTGTCAAAAGTGTCTGGAATCCTTAATGCGGCTTCTTTGGGTGACTCAGCATACCTTCTTATTCGTAACGGTCAACTCTTATACGAATCACCTTCTCAACAACACTTTTTCAATTGTCCATATCAATTGACCATCGTTCCCGACCATTATCCGAATCAAAAGCTCTATTTCAAAGATAAGCCTAGCGATGCATATCAGGCAAGTCATCAGCTTCAGGACGGAGACGTCATCTTGTTGGCAACTGACGGCTTTTTCGATAATGTGTTTGCCGAAGAAGCCGTCACCATAGTGAACAAAGAGCTTCAAGATGTTACGAGTCGTGACTACGAAGAACTTAGGTTACATGTGAGGAGACTTTCAAGAAGATTGACGGACACCGCGAGAAAGTATTCACTGGATCCCAGGAGAGTCAGTCCTTTCTCGCAGAGTGCAAGGAAGAGCGGTGAAAGTCGCACTGGCGGGTGAGTTTTTTTTAGTTAGTTTATTTTCTACCTGGTCCAAGATTTTGACTTTCCGTACAAAAAAATTGTAACTTTGTCCCGACCTAACCAATAATCGTCATGCTTTTATTTATAGTAAAGTGGATGATATCACTGTTCTGGTAACCCTAGTCCAGGCAAACTGATGATTTTGCAGTCCAAGAGGTAAAATCGGTAAGGAACTTTGTAAGAGAATCACATTATTAAAAAAAAAAAAAAAAACAAAAATTCATTATATCCACACCCATTTATGTAATACCATTTGCATAAAAAAGCGAAATTATCTTTAAGCGTTTTTGGCATAAAACAAATGTTTATTCCAATAAAAGTCGTAGAACATTTTATAAACTATAACTGTGTCACAGGTATTGTGGCAACTAATGCGACTGCAATATATATATATATGTATGATATGTATATATAAAAGATAATCGCAGCAATTTATTAACATGTTTGACCTTTCTCTCAATCCGCTGTATAAGGTTAGCTAGCTGCCTTGTAAAGTACTACCACGTCGATCGAACAAGAAAACCGCGTTCGAAACATTCCATGATTGGTCTAATCAGTCAACGAACTACTACCAATCCAGGGAGTACTTTCGCCCGTTCTTGTGGGAAGTTTTCTTTCTTTGCTTTGTCTTTCCAGAGCAGAAATGACTTTGGTCGCGGATTGTTTTAAAATAAAAAGTTCGAATGCTTCATGTGATCACGATGAAACTGGCAGCCTCTTCGTCGTGCTTAGGGACGTTTTATTGCACGAAACTCTGAAGCTGTCGAGATAAGGACTTGCATCTCGAGTTTCCGCAAATATATATATATATATAAACGTAGATTCTTGATTAAACATATATCAACGATCCTTAATATCGATAGAAGATAAGGTTTGAATAAATTCGGGGATAGAAGGAGTTCAGTGCAAAAAAAAAAAAAAAAAAAAGAAAAAAAACACCGGTTGTCGTTATATAGTCAAAACACTTGATTACGTATCTCCAATGTTTATAAAATGGCTAGTGGTCGGGTGATCATCTTCCATCACACGAAACTGCCGCAGGAAGGAGGAAAATTACTAAAAATTTTCTTTGAGCATCATCTATTATCATTACACAAACTGACTTTCACGTCCACCTGAATATCCATCCATCCGTATTTCCGTTGGATTAAAGTTGCATTACCAAGTTCTTTACCGTTTTAATTGCAACTTCAGGTCGGCAAACTCTTACGGTCTCTTACATACTTGATCTCAAAAAATTATTGTGAGCTTGAGATTTTAAGAAAGTCCGCTCACAAGCAGAAATGATTATTGACGATTCATCTTCAAAGGCTTTAAAGAAATATCTTGGTAATATCTTGGAGCCGATGTACGTTCGATCCTTTTCGACCTTGTTTTCTTCGCTTTCCTTTGCTTTCAAGCTTTGTTCGTTAGTGAGGTTTTCATGAAAACCTTGACTTCCCAAATCTGCTGACAATAGTTTTACAACTTAAAAATTTCTGCTTCAATAGATGCGACGCGGATCCTTCTGCCTTGGCCGATTACGTTGTTGCACTTTTACAGCAGGACAAATCAAACCAAGATTTAAGGCAATTATGTATAGATCAACTCGACGACTTTCTTAAGGAAGGTAAGAAAAAAAAGTTTTTTCAATACAAATCTCGGTGCCCCGTCGGGATGTCGTCTTATCCAACATCTGCCCGCTGCTAACTCGACCCTTTTAACGTCCGTTTAATTAATAAATAACAAACCTCGATCGAAATTTCTTGTGGTTGGCGTTTAGAAACAGAACCGTTTGTTGAGAGATTGTTTGAGTCTTTGGTTACCAAGGAATACCTAGGTGAGACTGGTGTGATACCGGGAATTCAAACTAAGCAGGAACAATCTCCAACTCTGAATGCACTTCCGGTGCCCATAGACAATAATAATTCGGTTGTATCCCAAGATCACCCTGCTGAAAAAAACGAAAATCAGATCTCCAAGATAGGTGTCAGAAAGAGAGAGGAGAGCGAAGGATCCGATGATGACGAAGATCGTAATTATAAACACCGGGAGAGGAGTAGCGATAATAATCGAGATGACTACCGGCGTTATGGCGATCGTTCCGCCTTAACAAATCGAGAAGACGAAAGAGACTCAAAAAATAAGAGATTTCGCAGCGAAGGAATTCCCACGGGACCTGCTGCTGGAGCATCTCAGTATAGCAGCAATTATTCGGATGATCGAGCTTTCAAGCGACGGCGTGATGAAAATGATGAGGATTTTCGTTCCAATAAAATGCCCCGCAACAATCTTCTGGGATCTGGGCAAAATTTGCCTGGAACTGGCAATGGATACGTTGCTGGAAATGGTATGGATGCGGGAGGTGTTTAGCGTTCAGATTTCGAATGGCGACAATCGTCTAAATGAGAATTTAATAAATAATGTAGGTCCCGGTCGTTGGGCAAATGAATGGGGCTCCAATGGTATGAATCTATCGTCCAACGATCGTTTCGACGATCGAAGAATACGGGGCGGCAGGATGAATGATCGAGGCAACGGTAGGGGAAATTCCATGATCTCCAATCGCGGTAACTTTTCAGAATCCAGGCCTGGAAGACGTCAGCGATGTCGCGACTATGATGGCAAGCATACCGCCTATTTTTTTTTTTTTTTCCTTCAGAATATCATGGGTCCCATTCAATCAATCAGCAAAAAATAAAATAAATAAATCGTTTTTTTTTTTTTTCTTCGAACTTAGAAAAAGGCTATTGCATGCGAGGTGACCTTTGCCCTTTCGATCATGGTGTGGACAGGATTGTTGTTGACGACGTGCCTTTAAATCGCCCGTTTGACTCCATAATTCCCATGACCGCTACGCCTCTTGCTGGGCCGGTGGGAATGATGGGTGGAGGTGTCTCTTCCAGGCCACCTTTTTTCATGGGTAATGCTGGAATGCGCAATCAATATGATCTAGATCCGGGTTTCTGTAAGTGATCAGTCCTCGTATCTCGTTCATCGTGATCGGACCTTTGTGCTTGAATGATTCATTCTTCTTTTTTCCTTGAAGCTCAACCTCCTAGGGCCATGACTCCAACGGCAGACGCTTATGATCCTGAAAGGGCTACACTATCTAGACCCGACGAATTACTTTCGCCAACTTTGATAGAACAGAAAGAAGGGGAGATTCAAGGGGCGTCGGAGGTGACCGCCGCGGAGGCAACTAATACTCCGCTAGCGCCATCACCAACCATTCCTCATTTTCTCGACTCAGGGATTGCTCAACCTGCTCGCGGAACATCATTTAGGGGGCGCGGTCGTGCTCGTGGTGGTCGGGCCGGGTTTAATGTCAATAGTAGATTCGGTGGTAGCACAAAACAAAATGCGACTTTGGTCGTCGAAAATATACCGAACGAAGTTTGCAATTTAGACAAGGTCAACGAGTTCTTTAAAAAATTTGGTACAATCGTCAACATTAATGTCGACATTCATCATCACAAAGCCATCATTCAGTTCAACAACCAGTCTGATGCGTACAAAGCGTATAACTCTCCCGAACCGATTTTCGACAATCGGTTTGTCAAAGTGTATTGGCACAAAGAGAAGGAAGATCATCAGGTTTCCAATCCGCCGGTGACAAAACCAACGACCGCTCTTCCTAAACCAGAGACTCAAATTGCGGAAAATCCCGTGCAACCCTCCCCAGAAAAGATTAAAGAGGCGGAGGAAAAAGCAAAAAAACAAAAGGAAGGCCTAAAAGCAATGCTTGAAATTCAAAAGCAAAGGGAGCAGTTAATCAACCGTCAAATTGAAGAACAGAAGAAATTGATGGAACTTGCTAGGAAGAAAAATGTGAATACCAAGAATCGTGAGGAGGTTCTCAAAGTTCTTAGCAAAGTTGGCGAAGACATAAAGAACGACACTAATGTGATCACCCGCAAGCCTATTTTGACCGGAGGGATTAGCACAAAAAATTTGCTGGAGGAGAAAGAACGAGAACAGTTGGATCGGGAGCTTGACATGCTGAGCAAGATTAACGAAACAAGTACCGCGAACGAATCAGTCATCTCGTCAGCGGCGGCTCAAACCGCTAATTCAGAATCGGGAAATTCTGAGGTGAGTGATTCGCTGGTGACTAGATTTTGCGTCAAAGGTGCCGAGTATTATGTTATGATTTTTTGAATCTAAAAAGCACTGTTGCATTGTGTTCATCTGCAGCAAACTACCGGTCCAAGTACCGTCGGCGAGACTGCCTCGTACCGTGGCCGAGGTCGTGCTGTTTACTATCGCGGCAGGCCTCGCTCCGTTTGGCCCAGAGTCCGCGGCGGTGGGGTTATGCGCTCTTTCAAATTGGACAATCGCACGACAAAATTACAGTTGAAGGATGTTCCAGCGGGTTCCGGTGACGCTCTCCGCAGCTATTTTCAGGTACACTTTTGATCAAAGTTTTTGTGATTTACACGTCGAAAATGAATTCACATCACTAACGTTTCTCGATTTGTAATCAGCAATTCGGCGAGGTCGAGTCAGTCACAATCGCAGACGAAACGAAGTCGGCGATTGTTCATTTCAAAAATAGATACGACGCCGAACAGGTAATAAAGATTTTTTTTTTTTTTTTTTTTTTTTTTTTTATCATCATTTATTGGTTTATTATATTTACTTTTTAATTGTTTTAATTTTTTTTTTTTTTATGCAGGCCCTTGTTAAGGGGTCAAATGTTCCAAACGTTGGCACGGTACAAATGACATGGCACACGGAGACGAGTTCGAATGCTCGCTCTTCAGAAGAGGTCTCTAGCTCGATTACAAATCCAGCGGATGATTCAACCACCGAAAATGTTGTAAAAGAGTCGCATGTGACGGTTACACCTAATTTCAAAGCGGATGACGATGAGGATGACGAACGAGAACGTTCATGGAAGCGTTGAATTAAAATTGCATTACAGTTAGAATTCTGACGTGAATTATATGTAATCCTTTTATCTTTATATACTTTGACGATCATAAAAATTTAGTTACGCATTCAATTCTTTTTTTTTTTTTTTTTTTTTTTTCTTGTGTTCGCCTTCTAGTACTTTTTTTTTTTTTCCATTACCATGTTTCTACTATTTTTTCCTCTTTTCTTGATTCTTTTGTATATACTGTTAGTATTTCTTTGTAATCTGAAAGCGTAAATATAGCGACATCTTTGCGAGAGTGCCGTCGAACATGTACGTGTAGAGATCGTTTTTTTATGGTTACACCTAAAATTCTCATGCACGTACATACGTACATGTGTACTAATATACTCACATCCAAAAAATCATCTTTATTTATCAAATATGCATATTTGCAATTAATTTTCATATTATCAAACTGAACAAACTAGTATCGTTTAAGTTCTAGAAGCATTCCCGATTTCACCTTGAAACTCGATGACCCTTGTTTAACATTCATGAATAATTAATAGTGAAGCTTGTAGTACAGGAACTCCAGAAATTCATAGGTACATACATATTTGAAGTGCATATTATACGCGCACATGTATATTTATTTGGAAGTTGTGGAATACATCTGCATCCGGCGTTCAAATAAAAATATTCATAAACTTTCATGTAGTAGTAGTGACTTGTAGTAGTGTATAGCATCCAAGTCTTTGGCGAAATTCATTCTTGCAATTAGTTACACCGTAGTGGATTTTTTTTTCCTTTTTCTTTTTTTTTTTTCCAAGGGAAAAGTCGTCAAGCTGGGTTCTCAAGTATCAACGAACGGAGGTGCGTTACAATCTGCAGGAAGGAGGGCTAGTGTCAGTCAAGCATACAAGCTCCCCTTGGGGCAGGAACGATCCGGTTTAAGACCAGGTGGAAAGAAAGCAGATGCAAGCTATTACAATTTAAACAATAGTTCAACTTCAAGCATTGGAAGAAAGAAGAAGAACTTTGGTGAAATTATAGAAATCGGGAAGCCAACCGAATTTGAACACGGGATTCACGTGGAATATAACACCGAGAGTGGAAAGTTTTTGGTAGGTGCACGTGTGTGGCAGCATAAATGCGCCTTTTCATTTCTTTCCCGTCGAAACTTGACTTTAAGAATAAGACTAGGTTTATTATTATTATTATTATCAGAAATCACCCTTATCATTCCGTAGATAGATGGTTTTTTAATAACATATATCAATTTTCCTAATTTATCTCTATCTCTACACCGTGCATTAATTGTAAAAATTCAAAATTTCCTCAGGGTCTGCCAGACGTTTGGGTGAACGCCCTGCCTAGTGATGAAATCCTCAATACAAAATATTTGAATCCCAATCTAGTGCCTAGCCCTGGATCATTTGGTGCGTCTTTCGCGGTGTGATTCCATTTGACTAAATAGTCTTTTTATTGACACTACAACTCAAATCTCTTTTCCTTTTCTCTCCATCAGACATTCACAAGTCGTCCGAGCTGTCAGATGAGGGCATCGGTCAACCGTACAATTTTAAGCATGAAGTTCATGTTGCCGTGAACGACAATGGACTTGAGGTACGTTGACAAGACAAAACGAATCCAAGATTTCCTGCCTACTTTACTCAAACGGTTACTCTTTCAGGGTCTTCCCTCAGAATGGAAAAAGATACTATCATCAATCGACACAGCCGAAGATGTAAGCAAAAAGAAAACAAATCGAAAATCGCGGCAGAACCAACTAAATAATCATCGACCGACATCATTATACCCCAGTAATTCGCGGCAAAATGGTCAAATCGATTCAGTTCTAAGCAATGTGCCTACACGGAAATCTTCAAAGAATTTCTCGAATGGTGGACCCCGAAAAGCTCAGAATAGAAATGATAAATCTCATAAGGATAATCTCGATTCTCCATCATCATTATCAAAAGATCCCGGGATCTCATCTTCAAATAAAGATAATGGTATGTCACTGTTAAAAAGGTGTGCACATGAAGATTTGATAATAACTTCTTTTGCCTCAAAAAAAAAAAAAAAAAAATTCCGACAGTACCGAATCAGTCAAGAAGATTGGTTACACCCCCTAAAGGATCGATAACCTCGTTTCCAAATGAACGTCCCACGAGTCCTACGCCACCTTTACATGAGAGAGCAACCTCACCCATACCTCGAGAATCGGTCAATTCAGATTTACGTGGAAGGGCCGCCTCACCTACACCCAGTAATCCGATTAGTTCACCAACAATACGAGAACCTACTTCACCTTCACGCGAAAAAACAACTTCTCCTGTACCTCCACCACGAGACTATTCCCGAGTTCCCAAAGTATCCACTACCACAAATCAAATAAGACCAACATCTCCTCTATCCGGTAGGAGTAACAATGACCAAATCTGCAGTCAAATAGTAGAACCATTTCCAGATATTTCGGAACGGACATTCCCTAATCATAAGCATCAGAACACGCCAATACAATGTTCAGGAAGGAAAAACTCCGACACGGCACTGTTAGTACCCCGAGAATCTGCAGAATCTAAGCATAACAAAGCATCCAGCATTAGCGAGATGCCAATGCGCCAAGCCAGCGATTCTCCTTCAGCATCCTTAAAAAATGATGAAAACGCATCCCAGATAATCCGGGATGATCGTGCTTCATCATCCTTACACGGAAAATCATACGACGGAATACTTACACAGGATAATTCGCGTACTTCTGCCAATTGGAATGTTGGAACTTTAACGGAACATAAGACCCCCAATTCTAAGCAGCAGTCATTTTATAATCGCGCAATTTCTGGAAACGGCGTAATAGGAGGAAACGCAACTGATCATCACATTTCCCTGCCTATTTTATTACCTTCTATGGACAATTCATTACCAAAAACTAAATCATCACGGTTTTCTGAAGGATCACAATTTCTTAATCAAATCTCCTCAGTACCTAATCCCTCCAGCCAACCAAACAAACAACAGAAACAGATTGATCTGTCACATGTTGCAAATACCGTTGTGGATCCTGATTCTTTGCCATCAGAAATTTGTCACTTAGGTTTGTGCCTCGTCTTATTTATTGTGTATATTTATAATCTCACAAATAACGATATTATGCAATTTATTTTCCTAATCTTAGCCGACCTTATTGATCCACGTGACCCAACCCACATTTACGATAATTTGATTCAAATAGCAGAGGGGGAATCGGGTAACATGTACTCTGCAATTCAAAAAAGTTCCCAAGAAACGGTACGACACATAAGTTCTGTTTATTTTGAAACACATGCATTTAGTAGGCTAACCTACATTTCGACTCATAATATAAACAAAGGTGGCAATTAAGATAATTCCCTTTACAAGTGTCGAAAAACTAAAATCTATAAAAAATGAATTGGATCTGATGAAATCAAGTCAACATCCTAACATCGTAAGATATATAGGATGCTACCACACACCTGATTCTATATGGGTAAATTCTCACTTGGCTTGCCTGTTTCTTTCTTAATGACGGTCTATTAATCAACATTCGGTTGCAGGTCATTATGGAGTGTATGGAAGTATCTCTTGCTGATATTATAGGAATGCACGAGGATGGACCTCGATTAAACGAATTCCAAATTGCGCGCGTTGCTAGAGAATCCCTGAAAGCTCTCGTGTATTTGCATGGATTGCAAATAATACACAGAGATGTTCGTAGCGATAACATTTTGCTAAATGCTCAGGGTGATATCAAGCTTGGTATTTTATAGCTTTTCATTATGATTGTTCATTTTCTCAATTTTATTTATTAACCAATCAAGCTGATTGTCGTTTCACCAACATCTCCAGCCGACTTTGGTTATTCAGTGCAACTGACTGAAAAAGAATCCCGCCGAAAATCCATAATAGGAACTCCATATTGGATGGCACCAGAAGTCATAAAAAGTTTACCTTATGATACCAAGGTCTAATGTTTTGTCATTCTGTACTGTCAGCTTGAATGATACACGCGATTAAATAAATAACTAAAGGATTTATGGTGATAAACCTTAGGTGGACGTTTGGAGTCTTGGAGTACTATTGATGGAAATGGCAGAGGGTAATCCTCCATATATGGATGAAGAACCCTTGGAGGTATGCTATTTTTCCCTCTCACTTGTTGTTACAATTGGAGGTGAGGTTTAATTCTCATTTGCTTTCTTATAATTTAAAGGCTATAAAGAAAATTGCCAACAATGGCGTTCCAGGTTTGAAAGACTCTGAACAATGGTCGGATACGTTTAAAGATTTCCTCGCGCTTTGTACAGAGATCGATTCCAGCAAACGGAAAACGGCAGCTGAGATGATAGAGGTAATTCTTGTTTATTTTAATTTGTTGTGAACTTATCCGCGATAGCTTACTTACACGAATTTATTTCATAAACAGCATCCGTTTGTAGAACATGTATCAGTACCAAAAGACTTCCAACAGATGCTAGATGAATTTCGCCGTCAAGAAATGGATGAAGGTGTTGAAGATGATTCGATTGAATATCAGAGTATGCAGGTTGATCATCAGGCCAACAAAATAGAAAACTTTTCCATCATTGATGATGATGCATTTTTTTACATCAATAGTATTACAAATAATTGGCAAAACACTGATATTTAATCATCCATTGACCATACGCCTCTATTTAACGTAACAATTTTAAATTCTAATTTAAACAGAATCATGAATTCTTCTTTAGCACTAATATGTATATGATAATTTTCTGGGTCACAGCCAACTTGTGAAACCCAGACAGAGATGAACAGATTGTTATATAAATAATTGAATTATGATTCCATGAATTATGATTCCATGAATTTGCATCCCTTCAATTAGGATTACGGTAACCTTTATTGAATGTCACACCTAAAAAAAGAGATTAACTAATGATGTAAATCAAAAGTTTTGATATTATTTGTTTCTTTTTTTAAAGTTCAATCAATAATTACTATAATAAAATCATGATGGTTTTTAAATAAGTATAACTTTTTAAAAATCTTATTTATAAATTAATTTTTAATTTTCTTAATATTGCTAGGTATTATTATTATTTTTTTTTTTTTTATTTTTTACAAATATATTAAAAATTAGAATATTAAAATTCTATTAAAAATTTAGAAAAAAATTTTAATGCATCTTATATTTTTAAGTTTTATTTAGAAAATGGTATATTATTTTTTTAATTGATTGATTATTCTCAAGAAATAATACTTTTAATTATTTTATTAATTATTAAATTATCAAAATCAAATTAAATAAGAAAAAAAAAACATTTTTTTTTTTAAAAAAATGATCAACATATTTTTATTTATTTTAATTATTTAAAAAACTTATTTATTTTTGATTTTAAAAAAATATTTTATGAACTTTATTTAATTAAAATATTGAAAAAAAAATATTTTTTTTTACTTTTTTTTTTATTTATTTAAATTATAATTGATATTAAATATAAGTTTTTTATTAAAAAATAAAAAAAACTCTTTCTATTAATTAAAAAGACAACCTAAAATACTATACTTTTTTTTTTTTCGCGAATAGCATTAAGTGCATAACTTTATTCAACAATTAAGTTATTAATCAACACTAGTAATCATTACATGAATAATTATAGCTATCTACATGGGTAGATCCTTACAAACTCTGAAAACTCATATGGAGAAAGAAAAAAAAGGTAAATAATATCTAGTTACTAGTTAACTATTGACCAGTAAGGGTGCTCACTAGATTAAGATGGTGATGTGTGTGACAGTTTGATTAGGGAAATTAGGTTTTTTGTTGTATTGACCTGGAAACCAGTTCGAGTTAGGATATAGGCTTGGATCTTTTCTTATTAGAAGCCATGAACCTAATAGAGTATGATCATCCTATGCTGATCTTTTGGAGGAGATAAGCTGATCACAGTTTTTAGTAAAATACTATACTTTTTTAAATCAATAATTAAGTAATAAACTATATAATATTCAACTACATTATAAAAAATTTATTAATTAAACAATAAATCTAGAAACTATACTTTTATTTCTTTAATTTTATTTTTATAAAAGAAAATATATTAATAAGTTGATTCATTATAAGTTTAGAAAAGTTCAATTTTAATTTTTTGAGCTTTTGATTAAATCAATATTGATTTATACCTTTTTAAGTACTAGAAAAAACTTTATAATCAATAGTTTTTATTGATAAATCAAGAAAAACTCAAATTTTATAAAGCTTAAAAGAATATTAAAGATTTTTAAAAATTAAATAATAAAATATTTTAATTGATTAAATATTACAAATAAATATTAAAAAAAATTATGTAAATATAAATATATCAATTGTTAATAAATATTAAATTAATACAATAAAATTTACTAATACTATTTAAACAAAATAAATTAATTTTCACAATAAAAGTAAACCAATAATATATTTAATAAATATATAAAATTAAATAGAAAAAATTGATTATTTCCTTAATAAACAAGTATCAAATTAAAATAATAATATATTAATTCTACAATATCTCTTTATAAAATATAAAATATCTATGGATCTATAGTGTAGTGGTTAGCACTCCATAGATTAGATCACAAGATCTAGTTTCAATTTCACCCAAATACAAAACAGATCGAGAAATTGAATCTGTCTATTGGTGTAACTATAAACTAATTGATGTTTTTAATATAACATCTGATCTATATCTAGATTGAGATTAGGTTGTGATCTGAATCGGATAGGATCATCATTGATATAATCGCATTATCAGAAATGATAGCAAGAAGAGTAAATCCCCAAACCAGTAGCATACTTCTCAGAACCAAAACAAGAACACAACTTGTTTGGGAACATAAATGGCTTCACACAAAAACTCATATGCAAAAAAAGGATTCTTCTATAATAAGCCAGTCCCAGTTCTCATGCATGTGGCTGTACTGGTTTTCACAGACTTGACTATTAGAAGATCTTGATGGAAGGAGAAATTTGCGGACCACTCTGAAGGATCAAAAACTGGAATCCAGGATATTAAATTTGATGACCTGATAACTAGAATACTCTTAATAAAAAATTGTTCTAGGAATAATTAAGCTAGAATCACGCAGGCTTCCAGTTTGTGATTGGGCTAGTAGTAGTAATACATAGCATTAGTTAAATATATATATACAGTAGCTATCCATATAGATATTATTTACTATAATGAACTCTTTCCGCTGATCCTTTGATCACACACAAAAAAGATGTTTGCAAAAATTTTTTTTACTTTTTTGCTAATAAAGTCTTAACACTATCATTAAAACAATTTGGAGTATGGCTCCAAAAGTCACTTCTATACTTTCCTTCTTGTTTACAAACCTTTTCACTCAAAAATTGGACTTTTAGTGACCAAGAAAAGTCAAGTAATACCTTTGATACCAATGGCAAGAAAGTTCCCAAAGGAAGAAAAACTGACTATG